GGTTGTTCACTATACTGTTTGCCTGCTTTTGCATATCTGTGAAAACTTCCACCTATCACTGACATACAAAAAATTAAATTCTTTATAGTGGCTTCCTATAACACTTTTCATGGCCTCCAAAACTCTGCATGATCTTGCCCTCTGCAACCTCAGCTCCTCTCATCTCCTATCACTTTTCCAGCAGCTTCCTTCATTCTAACCACACTGGCCTTCTCGCCCTTCCCTGAGTATGTGCCCAAGCATGCTTCTTCCGCTGGGCCTTCATACTTGCTGTTCTTTCTCCCCAGACAGTTTTCTCTCAGATATTTACATGGCTGAATTTAGTTCTCTTCTCCAAATGTCACCTCATCAGAGAAGCCTTCCCTTTCTATCAAAAGAAAACAGGACCCCGCCACCACCACTTTCTATTCTCTATACTGCTTATTTTTCTTTACAGCACAACTTAATACCTGAGATTAAATTATATATTTGTTCATTCATTGTACAACACAGCTCCATGAAGGCCACTGTTTGTTATGCTCTCCACTGGATACCTGGCATACAGAACTAGTCCTGCCATGGAATAGGTGCCCAACATTTTTTTGTTGATTAAGTGAAAGAATATTATTCATTTTTAATATCTTTATTTCAATACTAAACTATCAAGAGTTCTTTATAAAGAGAATGCCCAAGTTCATCATTAGCCTTATTATCTAATGATATTTATCAAGTTCAGAAAGCTAAAAAGCAGTGATGTGATTCCCTGAAGATGTGAAACAAAATAGAAACATTCTTCTTGGGGAAGAACTCTATCTTTTCCCTGGTAAAAACGACAAGAAAGTTAACATCTAATACATTCATAGTACAAAAGATATTTGAGCTTTTTTAATATGTTTATGCTTTTATCATCTGCTCGCTACCCTCAAGCTGAAGAATCTTCTTCATATTTTCTTGAGATTAGATTAACTTTCACTTGTTTATTTCATTCAACAAATATTTACTTCACACTTACAATGTGTCAGGCCCTGTACTAGGCACTGGGGCTACAGGGGTGACTCAGATAGTACTATCTCTTAACCACTGCACCACCAGGGCTCCCAAATAGTACTAGAGATGGCTAATTCCAGGCAGGAAGAAAACAAAGTCCCCACCATTATTTTAGGTTAAGAGCCAACAAAAACCTGGAATATGATTGGATTGCAGAAAATTTTATTATATCTGTTATAATTCAAAATACTGGCAACATAGTTTATTATTACACTTCTAAATAACATAAAATATGTGAACATTTTTCTCTTCTTCATGGGCTATAGTTTTTAAATTTTATACTAATAAATCAGGAAAACTATTTTGACAACAAATTGGATATTTTCCTAAGACAAAGTTGAGCAGTAAAATTGCCTCACTGCATCTTTTCTTCAAGCCATTGCTACCCTTTCCATGGGACAACACCATCATAAATAGATGCCTCCTTAAGTACTAGTAAGTACCCTATTCTGCTTTCTCATGAAAGCCTAATACTTTTCACATTTCTTTTAGTAGTAAAGATACAAATTTAAGAGGTCAAGAAAAATGCTAGGTTCCAGAATGTTATACTGTTATTTTATGATATTATTGACTATTATACTTCTACAGTGCATGACATGTATACTAGGATTAGATTAATAACATATCCATTCATTTTAAAAAAAAAGTCTATGTGAGAAGCAGAGATAAGGAAAGCCAAAGTGGATTTACTGCACCTGTTATCTGAGCATTTGGCATTCTTACGAAGTTAAATCCCCAGGAAGCCAGATTAGTAGATGACAGAAAAAACTGCATTATCATCTTCGACATGCTAATATACACGGGTGCTGAAAATCCAACAGAAAGGGGACTGGCTTATTAGGCTGTGGCATGCTGCAATTTACACATCTCACCCTCCAGATGTAAGGAGGGTAAATGAAAATGGAGTGTGCTCAGATCAGCAGGGGATAAAGAGGAAAATATACATATATACTTTGGCTCTCAGTTTGGCCAACTGAAGAAAATGTGACACTTAGTGAAATGACTGACTTTTGTTTTTACTAAAATAAACCTGGCTGTTGTTACTTCTTGGCCACATTCTGGGGTGGCCCTGAGGACAGTACACTTCACCCTAGCCAGGGGTTCAGTGTAAGGCCCTGCTGGATTTCCAACGGTAGGTGTGAATATAGATGCTGACGACTGGAAGAACCACTGAGTCCAGGACCCTGCTGATGGTGCAAGTATAAGAGGATCTTTGCAGAAAAAGGTGACCAAAACTATCGACAGGAGCTTCCCAAAATGCCCATCAGTCTCAGACAGTCATGAAAAGAAGAAAACAACACGATTTTTAGGAAAATTAATTCTGAATATTGTATCATTGCTCATGTTATACTCAAGTCCAACATAAAATATTAATGTATCCAAAATTTGACAGATTATTTCTCATAATCCACTGCCATCGAGTCTATTCCGATTCATAGTGCTCCTGTAGGACAGAGCAGAATTGCCCCATAGGGTTTCCAAGGCTGTAATCTTTATGGAAGTAGACTGCCACAACTTTCTTCCATGAAGCAGCTGTGTTTGAACCGCTGACCTTTCAGTTAGCAACCAAGCAACCACTGTGCCACCAGGGCTTCTCAACCATCATTCCCTCTCTGTGTTTCCTCATACATGCTTGTAGCCTTTGACAACTTTCAAATATTTAGAAGAAGAAACAGTATGTCAACACTTAGTTAATTTTTTAAATTCAGTGTTTCCCAAAAGACATGTAATGTTGGATAAACGGAATAGTAAAAATGAAATAGAAAAGCTATGAGTAAGATCAGCAGGCACAATATGTAGCCAGTAATCCTCAATGGGAACGTTAGCATTTCATATTTATAAAGTAAATGCAAGTATACCTAAAATATATTTCAGTGATTTGTTTGCTCTATAGATAAGCAGTTAAAAAAAAAAAAAAAAAAAAAGAAATTCTCCATAGCTTTTGACTATGGAGAATTTAAAACATATACAAGGAAAACAGAAGAGTATAACAAACCCCAATGTAGCCACAACCCAGACTCAACAATTATTAACATTTTCTCATTCTGGTTTCATCTATACCTTCAACTATTCCTCACTCTGTTAATATTATTTTTACATTTGTAAGGTAAAATTTATATACACTGGAATGCACAAATATTAAATGTACAATTTTGACAAATGAATTCATCCATGTAACCAATATGCCTATCACGATATGGAACTTCTCCACGTCCTCAAAAAGCTCCCAGTGCCCCTTCCCAGCCAGACTATCTGCTGAGTACACCAATGCTTATCCCAGAGAGACATGTTTTCTCCAGCACATATGAAAATTAAGGAAAGTCAACTCCTCAAATCCAGCACGCTTTATATTTCAAGCCGTGCAAAGGCTCATAATAAGCTTCCTACAGAAATGACAGTGTAAGAATTTGACATTCAGACTAAATCCAAATACCATTCTCTTCACAGATACTATTCAGACAGAGTCTCAAAGTGGGGGGGAAGGGGGGCTTCAACAATACATAACAAAAAGCCCTACTGCTGAAGCTATTTATCTTTTCATTTATCTCAACAGTATCACAAACAAAATTACAGGTCCATAAACACAACCCAAGAAATAAATACTAATAATGTAAAGTGGCAAAATAATAGCAGCAGTATTATTATAATGGGATTTTTAACCACCCACTACAATGATACATGTTGGTCAGACCACACTAAATCCTCAATACCTGCTCTCCAGAAAAGTAGTAACAGTAGCAATAGTAGCAGGAATATTGCTAATGATAATAAGAGCAGCCAATAAATATTAGCGTGGAGAAGAAGGGATTCAAAGCTAGTTCTCTCTGACTCTACTATGGGCAATAAAGATAAATATGCATACTACTAACATTATACATAACCTTACAAGGTATTTTCTTATGCCTATTTAAGTCTTATTTTCTGTCCTTGCTATTTTGATCATACTGGTAAAACCCCTTTTCTCTTCCCCACAAGTCCCCCCTTTAGCCCACAGAGAAGGAAATTCTACCAAGAATTCTGCCCTCTTGGAGAAGGGCTGTGGGGGAAGCCTCCACCCTTAGTTCCCCTCATCTGCTCCTACCATCATCCCCAGAGAGGAACCTGAATTTCTAAGACCGAGGAGAGTCTAAGAATGGGCTAAATTCCCCACAGCTGTGCGTGGTGCTGAGGGGATATGGCCTCCTTCTTTTGAACTTGGAAACCCTGGTGGTATAGTGGTTAAGAGCTACGGCTGCTCATCAAAAGTTCAGCAGTTCGAATCCACCAGGTGCTCCTTGGAAACCCTACGGGGCAATTCTACTCTGTCCTATAGGGTCGCTATGAGTTGACGGCAACGGGTACAGGTTTTCTTTTGAACTTAGGCTCTTTCTAGAGCACTTGTGTGGAAACGGGGGTAAGCAAGTCAACTTCTCCTCTTGTGACTAAGTGGGGCTGTAGGTTAGGTCAGCCTTTCACTGAGGCCAGGTTATCTACCAGCCACTGGGGAGTGGGAGCATGCTGCTCTGGCCAGGCATCAGGTCCTAGCCACATTTCTTTGCTTTGATGAGGCTGACACTGTGATCAATATTTGGGTCTTGTGTCTCTTTCCTAAACTAGTTAGACTCTGGGGAGGAAAGATGTAATTATCTAGGGTCCCTAACTTCCAACAAGCTATAATCTTTAACATTTGTCTCAGCTAATGGCATATGGACCACATCTTTTCCTTTTCAGTATCCCTCCAGCTGTACAAATAAATATAAACATGCCAGGGAAGGGAGAAGAGTTGAAGGGAATTCCCTTTCCTCACACCCTGGCTACTTAAAGGAGGTTCTTTTCTTCATTCCCAGGGGTGTACCATCTCCTCCTCTCACCCACCCCCTTCCCCCTCCTACCACCACCACCATCTCCATGAATGTTCAGAATGGCAAACTGCAGGTGACATGTATTCAATCAAGCATGAACTGGTACCAATTTCTCACCAGTGCTGCTGTTACCTTGTTCTCTTCTGGAGTGAAGAGGATTCGGAATGTAGATGGCACCCCTGGCGCTACTTTGTGGCCAATATCTTTGGGGCTGATTACTTTAAAGTAAGGTGAACTTTCTTCAACGACTTTGACCATCCTTGGAATCTGCAGGAAAAATACACCATGATGGATGTTGAGCATGTGGAAAAGCAGAAGAAAAAGCACAGTATTGGGAGTTAAACATAGACTGAAATCTCCATCTACTACTTATTACCTGTGTGACCTTGGTCAAGTCTGAACTTCAGTTGCCTCAACTATAAAGGGAGATGACAGTATCTATCTTTAGCCCAGTGTTTCACACAAAGCAAGCACTCGATACATTTTAGCATTAATTTTTATTAAGATTATTATCACTCATTTTTATTATTATTGCAACTCTTTGTTCATAAATGCAACTATCTTCAAAGACTAACCGCTTAATCAGCTAAAAAAACCCCACTCACATAGCAGAGTTAATCTGGATTTCCCAGTATCTGAGAACTATTCTGGGAGACGAAACCACATTTACTGTACTGCTCCTATGGTCCATCCACTGTACCTGGTGTGCCACTAAATCCTCACAATAACCTTTGAGCTTCGTTATGACTCCCATCCTATGATGAGGAAACAGACATTTGCCCAAAGTGGCACAGTTTTACCACACGGTGGTGGTGGGAGTCAAGTCCCGTCCTGCCTCCAACCCTGCCTCTCTATGGGTCATCCTAATTAAACAACACCATGAAGAAAGAACAAAGAGAGCAGTACAGTATTCCCAAGGCCAGGCTTGAGCAGCTTCAAACCATTTCATTCTTTTAAAGTCTTATTTCCTTGCTCTGCTTGCTATACCCAGAGCTACATATCTCTGCCTACCTCAGATAGTTCAAGCAATAAAGGAAATGCAAATGTAAGGAGAAGAGGTGGTCAGCAGTGGAGAGTTCAAGGACATAAGAAAAGAGAGAGGATTTAAAAAAAGAAAGAAAAGGGTCCTAAGGGGCAGAAGAGAGTTATCTATAAAATATGACCAAGAAGTCTCAGGTGAAAAGTGAGGAAAAAAGAACTCCCTCAACCTCTCAAGACGGTAACCCAGGTGAGGAAGAGAAGAAGAAATGCAGGAAAGAATTCAGGCAGAGACAATCATAAGACTAGAGATTGGGGAGGAAAGGAAGAGATGTGTGAAGTTTTGCTAGGAATGGAATGGGTTTGCTGGGAAAGGGAGGATGCAGTGGCATTTATGACTTGCTGAATGATGTTGTATAAACTTGCTGGGAACATTTAGTAAGAATGTCATTGTGCACTAGGAACTGAAAAGGAAAACAGCAATAAACTCTACAACAGCAATAACAATATTGGTTTAGTGCTTACTGTGTGATAGACACTGACCGAAGCACTTTATATTCATTACCTCTTTTAATATTCAAAACCACCCACTGAAAAGGGTACTATTGGGGTGAAGCCAACATGGCGCCGTAGACAGACGCACCAGGTTGACGCTCTGCAGCAAAGACCCAAAAAACTAAGTAAAACAGATACAAATGTCAATCCTGAAACCCTAACCATCAAACGAAGGGACAAAGAACTAGATCAAACACAAAATGGAAGAAGAAACTGACAGAAAACAGACAACAAGGAGAGATATAGAAGGAAGGTCCCCTGCCAACTAACACAGCACAGCGTCGCCACCTTGGAACACAGCCAGAAAGGATCCCAGAGACGGGGTATGGGAAGGCAACTTCACAGAGCTCCCAACAGAAGACAGAGCACCCGCTAACAGAGAAACATGCTTTCCCACCCCTCACGCTTCTGTCCCATACATCACCTCCACCCATTCCCACCTGGACATGCTGCGCTGTCTTGGCTTGAGAGTCACCGGCACACTGGCATCCTGGGTCTGCCCCACCCCCACTGGCTGGCTTCCACCACATTTTTTTTCCCTTTCTTCTTTTTCTTTCTCCCTTCCACCTAGCTCCATACACCACCTCCACCCCTTCCCTATGGGTCATGCTGTGCCACTCGTCAATAGAGCCACCAGCCCACCACTGTCCCAGGTCCACCATGTCCCTACCTGCCAGCTCCTGCCACACCATTTTTTAAACTTTTTAAAATATTTTTTTTCTTTTTCTTACCCTTTCTTCCTTTCTCCCTCCCACCTAACCGCATATGCCACCTCCACCCCTTGCCCCCAGGCCATGCTGCACTGCCTCGGCTAGAGCCATGGGCCACCACCACCCGGGATCCACCACGCCCCATCCCTTGGATTCTGTCTTGGTGTCATTTTTTGTTGTTGCTTTCTCTTCTTTTCTTTCTTTCCTTTTCTCCTACCTAGCCCCATATGTCCCCTGCCCCCCCTTCAAACTGGCCCTCAGGTCTGCCCTGCCCCCACTTGCCAGCCCCCACTGTGACACCAGTTTATTTATTTAATTTTTTAAAATTTTGTTATCTTTTTCTTTTCTGTTTCTTCCTTTCCTTTCTCCCTCCCACCTAGCCCTGTACACCACCTTTCTACCTTCCTGCTGGACCCCACTGCACTGCTGCAGCTAGAAAGCCACTGGCACACCAGCCCATCACTCTTCTGGGTCTGCCCTATCCCCACCCACAGCCTCCACCGCACTGCCATTTTTTTTTCTTTTTTCTCTTCTTTTTCTTTCTCTCTCCTTCTTAGCCCAGTATATCACATCCCATCCCTTCCCACTGGCCCCTAGGTCCACCCCACCATGGTCGGCCTTTACCACGCTGTCATATTTTTTCCTTTTTTCTTTCTTTTCTCTTTATTCCTTTTTCTTTCTCCCCCTGCACCTAGTGCCATATACCACCTACTCTTCCTGCCAGCCATCACTGTGATGACGCAGCTAGAGCATCCCTGGTGCTCAGGCCTGCCACCACACCAGGCCCACACCGCACCTCCTCTCACACCACTCAACCAGCTGCTGGCCAGAGGGAAGCGAGCCTGTACCACTCTCTGTCCAACACTCTCGCCTATCTGGCAAGGGGCTGTGAATTCTCCCAAACCACTGGAACAACATCAAGAGGCAATGCCCACTCAGTTTGCCTTCAGTCACCTTGTCAAAAGAGTGTACAGCAAAACTGGTTCGCCCTGCCTGCTGCTGCCCTGCCCAACTGGACAAGGGGGTGAGAACTAACATGCTCACAGATGAGTAAGCAGCAAAGCATGCCTGGCCAGCCCACTCTGATACATCGAAGCTAAACCAAAAAGTAGGATGAAACAAATAAACATACAATTAATAAATAAAGAAAATAATACCTTAATGTCTAGGAGACATTCAGACAATATCAAAACATATTAAAAAGCAGGACAAGATGGCTCCAGAAAGTGACCAAAATAAAGAATCAGACGACTTTCTGGTAGAAGAAAAGGCAGTGGAACTACTTTATATGGAATTCACATGACTAATATTTAGGGCTCTCTAAGAGATTAGGAAAGAGATCAAGGAAAAGACAGACAAAACCAAGGAAAAAACAGACAAAATCATGCAAAACACAGATAAAACCAATGAAAACACAGACAAAATCAAGGAAAACACAGACAAAGCAACAGAAGAATTCAGGAAAATAATATAAGAACAAAACACTGAAATAAACAATTCTAAATCATACAAAAACAGCAACTAAAAATCCAAAAGATAAACAACAAAATTTCAGAAATGGACAATGCATTAGAAGGTCTTAGAAGCAAATCTGAAACAATGGAAGACAGAATCAGGGAGATTGAAGACAAATCCATATATAATACTTTCAGGAAAAATCAGAAAAAAAAAAAAAAAAGAAAAGAAAAATGAAGAGACCCTGAGAATTATATAGGACACAATCAACAGCAAAAATATGCATGTGGTCGGAGTTCCAGAACAGGGGGAGAAAATGGAAAACACAGAGAAGACTGTTGAAGATTTGCTGGCAGAAAACTTCCCAAATATCATGAAAGACGAAAAGCTGACCATCCAAGAAGCTCAATGAACCTCATATAGGATTGACCCCCAAAAGAAAGTCACCAAGACATATCATAATCACACTTGCCAAAACCAAAGACAGAAAAGAATCCTGAGAGCAGCTCAAGAAAAATGAAAAGTCACTTACAAAGGGAAAACAATAAGACTAAGCTCTGATTACCTGGCAGAAACTATACAGGCAAGAAGGCAGTGGGATGACATATATAAAACACTGAAAGAAAAGAACTGCCAACCAATAATAATATGTCCTGCAAAACTCTCAGATATGATGGTGAAATTAGGACATTTCCAGATAAACAGAACTTAAGGGAATTTGTAAAAACCAAACCAAATTTACAAGTAATATTAAAGGGTGTCCTTTGGTTAGAGAACAACAATATCAGATAACAACTGGAGTCTATGACACAGGACAGTGTCAGCCAGATACCAACCTAGGTAAGGAATTCTCAGCATTAAAACAAAGCTAAAAGACTTGAAACAGGGAAACAGAGATGTCAATCTGTATATGACAACAACATCAAAACAATAAAAGGGGGGATAAACAGTGTAGGCATAGAACTTTCCAATGGAGAGGAAGTCAAGGCAATATCAAGCAATAAAAGACTGGTTCAAATTTAGGAAAGTAAGGGTAAATTTCAAGTTAACCACAAAGAAAGTTAACAAACCTACTCAACAGAATTAAAAAGGAAAAAAAACATAAAGACTCAGCAAACACAAAATCTATAACAACGAAAGAAAAGAAAATCCACAAACAGAAGGAACTCAGCACAGACAGTAAGAGAAACAAAGAAAATATCAGCACCACAAAAAAAAGCTCAACAATATGACAGCAATAAACTCCTATTTATCGATAATCACACTGAATATAAATGGCTTAAATGCACCCATGAATAGACAGGGAGTGGCACAATGGATTAAAAAAACACAACTCATTAATATGCTGTCCACAAGAGACACACGTTAGACACAAAGATATAAATATATTAAAAATCCAAGGATTGGAAAAAAATACATCAAGCAAATAGTGATCAAAAAAGGGCAGGATTGGCAATACTAAGTTCAGATAAAATAGACTTTAAGGAAAATCTACCATAAAAGACAAAGAAGGACATTATATAATGATTAAAGGGACAATCCACCAAGAAGACATAGCCTTAATAAATA